CACTGTTTTTTCCAAATGATGTATCCAACCATTTTGTTTCTAGTTCATCTGTGTCACTGACTTTAAGTTGTCTTCTGATATTCCCCAGGATGTTTTCCATGTAATTCCTGGAGATACAGATTACAGAATGTTTTCAGAAGACTACGGCGACATTCCCGGGCTAGACATCATCTTTATTCTGGGTGGTTACTACTACCATACTTCCTTTGATACAGTTGACAGAATATTGTATGCATCATTTTGGTATATATTATGGTTGAACTTTTCATTGCTATTGTTTATTGTTTAGTACGACCCTCGTTTGACAGAATATCTTTAAACCAGACCTGGAAGCATGCAAGCACGAGGAGAAAACTTATTTGGTGTGCTTAAAGACTTCACAAGTTCTTCTAAGCTGAAGGTTGCTAGTGAAAGAAAGTCGCTTGACTTGGATGCTAATAGTGACATGATTGAAAGATCTGTTTTCTTTGATTACTTAACACTGTTCATGGTGGGTGCTTTTTGACTCTGTTCATCAACTTTTTTTCATAGCTTGTTTTCACTCTCTTGACAAGCTGAAAATCATGAAGGTGTACTATCCAAGAAGAGTAGCTTTGATACTTCACAATATTCCAGCTGCGTTATTCCTTTTTGCTCCTTTCTTTTTGTATACTCGGGACTCTGGGATACACCCTTTGTTATCAATCTTCTGGGGTTTCTCGAAAGGTAAAAATATGCAAACTTTTGTTTTCTTAATCTCTTATGTTATCATGTACTCTTTTCCTCGTACGAGGTTTTGGAGATTTAACAATTTCAGTCATTGCCTGATTAGGAGTTATGCACCATACCGCTGGGATTTTACTTGGTGTCATATTCCCTGTTATCTTCTCAATCATCAGATTGTTCTTTGCTTCTCCCATGAGCTGGTTGGTTTGATATATCTTGTTACGTGCTCCACAATTTTGTTTGATGCTAAATAAAGGTGTTGAAACTGTTGAGATTTTACTGGTGGGGGATACTCACTATAATAATTGTTGAAGTGCAGGTTTGCTCATTCATACTTAGCTTTCTTGATGTTCATCCCCTGCTCGTTTTTGGGTCTTTTATTTCCAAGAACTATCTCTGATCGTGTCTCACATTGTCAAGGTGTTTCATCTAAGAAGATTATGAAAGTTGTAAAGTCCTTATTCTTACTCTTGCATCAGTTGACTCTCTGTCTATTACTATAAAGTGACTTTTAACTATGTTCTTGTAGGAAACATCTGATGAAGCAAGGTTTTGGGGAGCATTTGGGTTCTATGCTTTCGTAACTTCAGTATGCGCTTTTTCTTTTATTAGTTTAGTTTACACCTTATCATAATTTTTTTTTTTTATTTATTTTATGTTTGACTGATCTATGACTAACTGGAGAAACGTTTTTCAGGCATATTTTTTCGCTGGATTAAATGGAGGATTCATGACATTTGTCATCTGCATTTCTATGCTATTAGGGTGGATTGCTTTCTGTTTATCTGTCAAATGCTATGGCTATAATTCAATCAAGTAAGCTTTCATTGAAATATTATTTGTTGTGCTACAATCATCATCTAACTTTTGTGAAGTTGAGGATTAATCTAACTTGAACTTCTTCTTGGGCATAGGACAAATCTTTACCCAATAAGATCCCTGTTTATAAATTTTGATTTAGATGTTTGCTTTATACAGTAGTCGAGATTTGCACTTCTCATAATTTTTCTAGCTTTTATGTTTTCTTGACAACATCGCTTTTAAATCTGTTGTATGCTAAAAGTTAAATCTCATCCAGGTCTCCCATGTTTTATGTGATACCTCTTGTTCCATGCCTGCTGTATTCTCTCTATTTTGGTGGTATTCTTGTACTACTTTTGATCGAGAAGTCAGGAATGATGGGAGCAATTCCACCACCTTATGGTTAGTTTTACTAAACTCGTTTTTTTAACTGAAAGCATCCCTGGTTCAGCTAATCGATTCACGCCTTTTGAGTTTTACCAATGAAACATTAAAATGCGTGTTGTGATTGCAAGTCTGGCTTTCATTTCGTAAGATGTTTATTGTACAAGGTTTTGCTTTGCAGGATTTTATCTCGCAGATGTAGCAGTAGCTGCAGTAATAGGAATTGTGACCGGCTTGTGTTTGGGACCAATAATACCAATTTGTGACCGCTGGCTAGCCAAATCTTCGATCTTGAAATTTTTGCTGCACTTCAGTGTGGTTATGTTGGCGGTATCGTCACAGTTCTTCCCTTACAGCAAAGATGCACCCAAGAGAGTTATCCTCCAACACACATTCTTCTCTGCTGGTAAGGTCACCCGATATTGAAATTGTCGTAAGTAACATTTTCTATGCTGACATGAAAGTACATACTGAGATGTGCCCTTTGCAGGTGGAAATGAAATCACAGGCTCAAATTACGATTTAGCTGTCATTGATTCAAATTCTATAGAGTTCGTTTTTAAGCATGCTCCGGAGCTGGCAGAGGAACTTCATGTTGGCCCTTCTTTTTCACTGGGAGGCGTTGAAGTGTCTCCTCAAGATGCTTGGAACGTTAGTTATATTCACTCCTACTTGCATGCTATTTGACAAGATAGTTAGTGTTTCTCAGTTCGGAGTAATTAAAGAGTTGTTTGATTTTCTTTTTTGGGCAGGCACTTTTCCCTATTTCATGTGTAGTAACCACAAATGGGAGGTTCCCTGCTAAAGCCAACAATGTTTTGGAACGATATAGCCAATTCCCGCATGTAAAAACTCACAAACCCGAAACAACATTCGACAACGGAACTCGTAGAGTTCATCTGGAACTCTCTCTTGGGTTAGTTGGACTCTTACAAAAGAAATTTCTATTGGTTTTGCTTTGCTATTACCAGAAAATGGTTATTAACTATTGCCTAAATTTCAACAATGTCTTGGTTTTGCAGTTCATTGGAGGAGATTTGGGTCACGGTTCTGAACATAACCGGTCCATTATCAGGATGGTCCTTTGCAGATAGCAAACTTCCAGGTTTAAGACAAACTCCTTCTCTTTAAGACCTTTTTTTTTTTTCCAATTGAAACTATAATAACCTAAATGGCTTTATTGTTGCAGTGCCTGAACTCCCACGGGGAGGTCCTCCTTCTTACATATTGAGACTAAGTGGTAACAGCAGCGAGAAGTGGATCTTCTGGCTAGAGGTAAGACCAAGCATTTTTTTTTCTTTATATGTTCTAAAAGTCGTTTAATTAGTTTTTTTTTTTTTTTTGGTTCGTTTACTGATTCCAAGATGATTGTGGCAGGCAAGTAGCGAGAAAGAAATTAGAGTAGATGTAGCTGTTCTTGAGCAAGTTCTTGATGAGGAAACTCGACATTTGAAAAGTCTTTTCCCTTCATGGTCCGACGTTATTGCCTACACTAGCTTTCTTTCTACTTACTTCTTCTAATCAAAGACTTAATTATTCTCTCCTTTTTTTTTTTGTTTTTCTAAACTATTAGAGAATAACCCGTTCGTAGCACGGGACATATAGTTCAATGCTTTGTTATTTATTTATAGATAATTTATGATTTTCATTTTTCAATCATTGTGGCGTAGATGAGCAGATTGCGTCAATTTTTATTCATCTGCCTTGCACTACTCTGCGTTTATGTTGAAGTGTCTGAGATTCTTTCCACATATCCGGTTAAGTTTGATTACTTTGCGCAATTGAAGCAAACCAATTTTAAGCTTATCCCGAAGAGGTGGATAAAAAGTCCCACAATAATTCAACTAGTTGTGCTGTAGAAGATTGTGAACTTCACTGTCACCATCTTCTTTTAAGTCGTGATTGATATATGAAGATGAGATTTGTGATGGTTTTGTATATATATTATGGTAAAACTGATTCAAAAGAATTTTCAACTTCTGTAGTTGTTTCATCGTTAAAAGGAGAGCTAGCTAAAAAGCTAAAGAATAATAACCATTAGATGTTTAAAATGCTATTTTGCGTAATGATATTGAGAATGTTTAAATGATCCACCCGCCTGAAATTTTCAGTTATGCATATCTTGACAATGTTTGTAACTTGTAAGTTTCAACAAACTCTTTGTGGTCTTGAAGACTTAAACAGACATGCCACATGCATAATTTGATATATATAGTTACATATACTTTGGTCTTGGGGTTTATCCTAAAACCGTTTGTGTGTTGATGCATCACTGCTTATTTTGTCTGTTTCACCCACAGTCGATGGAAAATTTCTAGAGGAGTTATGGAGTATAGCTATAGTGAGTAATTTAGTCAACTGTTAAAAAAGTCAAAGAGTTGTTGTATAAAAGGAGAGAGAAGAAGGAAGAAGAATAGCGCAATTTACAAGTACCATGGGCCTTTTCGGGAAAGCCCATTAAGATATTACTAGGGACAAAAACAGGCCCACTTTGATAGAACAAACTAGGTTTTCGCTGTTTTTAAGGGTTTATGCCGTTTCACGCTATATAGTCTTTGCATAACTCACCTCCCATCCCTTCTGCAGCCGATTCTTCTGTTAGCCGCCATGGTAATTTGCTTAAGCTTCTCTCACATCATCATCTCTCTTCTCGTTAGATTTGACCTAATTTCGGCTTTCTGATGTTCTTATCCTGCGTTTTGCTATTTTCGCAGGTGAAGTATTCGCAAGAGCCCGACAATCAGACCAAGTGTAAAGCTCCTTGAAACACTTTCTCAGCTCCATTTTTTTACTCTTTTGTATTCGATTATTCGTACTTTATTGATATTCGTTGCAAATCTTCGTTTGATCTTGCAGCTTGCAAGGCAAGAGGATCCGATCTTAGGGTTCACTTCAAGGTACAGCCTCTTTTGATTTCTACATTCTCTTTTGATTTCTATGTAGTTAAGATTTATGATTAGGGAAATGGTAGTTTTAGGAAAAAACCTGATTGAGAAAAAGCAGAGTTCTGTAGCAATTTACAGATCTCACGTATACTTCAGGGAAATTGAATTGGTCATCGTGATTGGGTGAATCTATGTTAATTTTCTTATAACGTCAAGGTTCAGTACATGATGGTACATTGATTTAACATTTTTGAATCTGTGTTTTTAGGGCTTTTGTTGATTAGCTTAAAATATGTAAACCTGATTAGAAAAAGCAGGGCTTTGTTGCCTTATTTTGTGAACAAAGCTCTCGTATATGTCAGGGAAATTACGGGCATTGTTCTTGGGTGAACCTATGTACAATTTTAGTGACTAATGGTTCAGTAAATGATGCCACATTTCCAGTTTTTGTTTATTGTATTATTGTTGTATGGTTCTCATAGTGTTTCATTCGTTTTATGTAAAAACAGAACACTCGTGAAACAGCGCACGCCATCAGGAAGCTACCATTGCTCAAGGCGAAGAGGTACCTTGAGGATGTGATAGCTCACAAGCAAGCAATTCCCTTCACCCGTTTCTGCAGAGGTGTTGGACGAACTGCTCAAGCCAAGAACAGGCACTCCAATGGTCAGGGACGTTGGCCTGCGAAATCTGCTCAGTTCGTTCTTGATTTGCTCAAGAACGCTGAGAGCAATGCTGAGGTGATTACTCTATATGTTTTCAAATGATTTGTGAAATCGTTTTTGGTGTCTCTGCTCTTCTGCTAATAAAACGTGTTCTTACTTTGATATTTTAGGTGAAAGGTTTGGATGTTGATGCCCTCTTCATATCGCACATCCAAGTGAACCAGGCTGCAAAACAAAGGCGAAGGACTTACCGTGCTCACGGAAGAATCAATCGTAAGTTTTTTGAGATTTTGCTATTGACTTGCGTAGACTCTCTTTTTGGGTTATGTTTTGTATGGCTCATTCTGCGGTCTTTCTTAAATGTCAGCTTACATGTCCAACCCTTGCCACATTGAGTTGATTTTGTCAGAGAAGGAAGAGTCTGTCAAGAAAGAGGTAAATAGATTTGTTCTCTGTGGTAAATATTGCGTTTTGATAACATTACTGATTATGTGTGTTTTTTTTGCTTATAACTGTAGCCGGAGTCGCAGTTGGCAGCCAAGTCCAAGAAATCAACGGCTTAAGCACTTTTTTTCTTTTCTTTCTGAAATCCCGTTTTTTGTGTTCTTGAAAGAGATTTTGTTACCCTTTTCTATCGAATCGTATTTGCTAGACAATGGATAGATTTTGTTGGAGTTTCCTATGTTATTGCTGCTGTTATGAAATCATTGGTCATCGTTAGTATTACTTCTGCTAAATTTTAATCTGCCACCGCTTCAGTTACTTATTTATGACTATGAAAATTGCATAAAAAGTTATTGAAATTAAAAGCATTTTGACAAAACTGCTTCAATTTTCTAAATTTTTCATTAACCAAATTTTTAACGAAAGATACTTTTAGTGGTATTCCCTACGTTTTATACAATGACTTAGTTGTCAAATGTCTTTGTAAACGCTCTGATCATCTCTACTTCTCATTCTCAATTTGGTCGTCCTCGATGTACAAGTCGCTGTCTTCTTCATCTTCGAACTCGTCTAGCTCAGAGATCATTGTCTGTTTCACCTTCTTCCTCGACTCTCTTCTATGTTTCTTTGGCTGTAGCCTTGGTTCAGCTTGTTTCACACCCATGCCTCCCACCTTGTACCTGCGCCAATGCTTCCCTGATTAGTCCATATTTGGAAGTCGTGTAATTAAAAAGCTGTTTATGGTTTCAGGAGAAAATCAACCAACAAAGATTACCTAACATCACTTTCCCTCTTGGTTCCAAAAGTCCTAAGCTGAAACTCCTCCCTGATTCGTATCTCATCAAGCAGTTGTAAGTAGTAAGGATACCTCTCCCAATCACCTTTCACAACACACCCTGGTTCCCCAATATGCAAGCAGTCTTTGAATCCGCATTTTTCTTCCTCAATCAGTTTCCGTATCTAAGGAAAGAGTTAAAAACCAAACGCATTGGCCACAATCAGTCCATATGCGAAATGGGCACAAGTCAAAGTGTACAAATTTGCACAAAGCCAAAATTGGGACAAACCTCGGGAAAACACAGAGCAAGTGATTGCTTCGTTACTTTCAGCAAACTAGGCTGGTTAAATCCAGGAGTATCAGCGAGGTATCCACCTTCAGAAACTGGCAGTAGCGATACATTTCGAGTTGTATGTTTGCCTCTGCCGCTTCTACTTGAAACTTCACCAACTCGCTGATCATCAAACCACTTGTTGTTGTTACCTAATATCTGAATATGACATAGGTCGAGAAAGTCACGAGGATTGGTAAACGAAAGTTTAGCTGTATAGAATGAAATGTTAGCAGAAGAAACCTTACAGGCTCAAACCAGTTTTCGTCTTCAATGGCACCACCAGAGTTACTTCTCAGTATGTTGATTAAGCTCGACTTTCCAACACCACTAGGTCCAACAATTACAGAAGTCTGATTCCTCAGGATGAATGCAATCGCATCGAGTCCGTCTTTAGTCCCCACACTGCAGAACAATGGTTCATAGTTCCATCTACGCAGTCTTATCTTCCACGATTCCAATTCCTGGAAACAACTATCATATTATGTCTCTCTAATCAATCCCTAAAAATGGAGAATCTAATGAGCTATGCAATTTCTTTATCTTCCTTACCTCTTCGGAAATGAGTTCGCATTTGTTCAAGGCAAGTGTGAGTGGGATCCCAGTGGATTCAGCTTCAACCAAGAATCTAGTGAGTGTGAATGGCTCAAGCTTCGGTTGATCCAAAGAGAAAAGAACAAGCAAGTGATCAACATTCGCGACCGGTGGATCAAGGATCTCCGAGCGGCGTTGGAACACATTCTCAATCATTCCTCTCCGATCAATCCAATCGATAGATCCGACGAGAACCTTATCCCCAACCAGAACTCTCCTCCGTATCTTCTTCAGCACAGCTCTCACCACGCAAAGCAGCTCAACGCCGTTCTTAGACGAACAATCGTCTTCATCGCCGTCGACAGCTCCACCGTCATCCTGGACAACTACGCGCATAAAGTTCGCTTGAGCGGTGGCGACGGTGCCGATGGCCTGAGACTCCGAGAGGGAAGGATTGTGGTCCAGAGAGAGAACCGGTGCTAAGGAGGAGTAGTCTTTACCAATATGCTTCGCTCTGAGCATATTTTTGCTCGGCTGGGGTTTTCTAGAGACATCAGGATTATCTCGTCTCGCTGAGACTGTGAGAAGATCAAATCTACGGCGGATTCCGATTCCAGCTCGAACGTCACATCCGCCGTGATAAATCCCAGTGCGACGGAGGAAGAAAGGAGAATAGTGGCGGATGATGGAAAGAGAAGATGTCTGCATTTGAAAAATTCCAGAAGAATCCAAGACTGGCTTCGCCGAGGGCAGTGAAGAACTGGCTGTGTTATTGATAATTCCAAAAGTATATGCAAGAAGAAGATACAGATTTAGCCCAAAATGAGCTAAGTTTTATGGGCCCAAAGCCCAACGAAATTTTGGTCAAGTCAAGTTTCATTTATGTCTATGGAAAATTCAAGTTTTTTATTGGCTTTGCACTCAAAAGTAACTTTTAGCATCTAAAAGCGAATAAAAGTGAAACCAATCATATATGAAGAGTTGACAAATCAACACAATCCACTAGTTGAGTAACGAGCTCCACAAATCAATGAGTTGTTTTTTTTTTTGGGTAAAATGTTAAACAAATCAATGAGTTTCTTTCTATTTAAAAGACAGAAGCCATAAGAGACATTACAAAACCTATTCGACACATTAAAAAAGGAAAGAAGCGATGGTTCGAAGCCATTGTTATTGTTACTTCTTCTGCTTGATTTTTCTTCTACTCGACACTCTTGCTTCTCATTGTCGCCATGATAAGAGGGATGCTCTTTTGGATTTCAAAGATGAGTTTCCGATTCTTGGGAGCAATGATGCATCTTTAAGCCCATGGAACAAGAGCACTGATTGTTGTTCTTCGGAGGAGGTCACGTGTGATCCCAAATCTGGAGAGGTGATTACACTATTCCTTCCTTTCATCTATCTTAACGGCTCTAAATAGCGGTCTTTTCAAACTCCAACATCTTACAACGTTATCCCTTTACAACTGTAGTTTCTATGGAGAGATTCCTTCTTCTTTAGGAAACTTCTCGTCTCACAGATCTTGTCCTTTCGCACAATGCTTTAGTTGGTCAAGTTCCATAGTCAATAGGAAACCTTTCTTCTCTCACATCTCTTGAACTTTAGGGACAATGCTTTAGTAGGTCAACTCCCATAGTCATTAGGAAACTTTTCTCATCTCATTTTTCTTGACCTTTCTAATAATAGATTTGAAGGTCAAGTTCCAGCTTCAATTGGAAAACTTTCTTATCTAGAGAAACTTGACCTCTCGTATAATCAGTTTGTAGGTAAAGTTCTAGTTTCATTAGGAAACCTAACTAAACCAAGGTACTTGGACATTGGCCATAAGAACTTCAGTGGCAATATTCCTGTTTCGTTTGCCAATTTGACAAAACTTGTTGAAGTCTACCTCAATAATAATTACTTGGAATCCACGCTTCTACCTTACATGAGTGGACTCCAAGTATTAGAAATTTTTGATGTGAGTGAAAACTCGTTTTCTGGGCCTTTTCCTACATCCTTGTTCACAAATTTTTCGTTCAAGAAGGTTTTGCCGTGTGGGAGACTTGTAGAGTTGAGGAATAAACTGAGTTTATACCTTGATCATAACAAATTCGATGGTCCAGTCCCCGACTCTATATCTAAGTTCTTTAAGGTAGATTTAAGTTACAACTCTTTTACTAGTTTTGAAAAATCATCGAAAGTTTTAGATGAAACACGAATCCAGCAGTTGGATCTTAGCTCAAACTCATTGTAAGGACCATTCCCTAAGTGGATATGTAATCTTAGATCGTTAAAATTCTTAGATTTGTCCAACAATAGATTTAGTGGCTCAGTTCTTTGATAGGGCTCAGGTTTTACCCAAATAAAACTATTGCAAGTGCACAACAAAAACAGTTGTAGTACAAGGGGTATCGAATCCCAAGAGAGTAATGTAAACTACACTATCGAATGTAGGTTCAAATTAAGCTAAGCAGGATATAATGTATGTAATGCGACTGATTAAATAAAAGTAAGCAAGCGATTTTGTTGTTTGATCTAAGTTTCAGAAGACTAAAAGCGCTAAGTCAGGACAGTTCGCAGGTTGAATCCAAGAATATAGAAGGTATGAAATCAGGAATGATTAAGAACCGTTTTAAACATGAATCACTGATGTATAACTAATCAATTCTCATTGCAGAAGTTATCTATGACTAAATCACAGAGTTTCAAATCTCTTTGCAAATCCTAGCAACCTAAGCATGTAGGAATGATCAGATTCAATTGTTTACAAAACTCCTAAGCCAAATCTCTTTGCACTAAGTTGTTTTGCTCATCAAATACTAGTTCAGGTTATCAATAATTCTCTCACATATATTTAACAACCTATGATTTTCGGATTCCTAGATGATGTGTCTCAGAAATTCGATTTCAAAGCAAGCAGAGATGAAAAACCAAAAGATATTCCTAACAGGTAGCAATTCTACAAACTCTTCATCAACCTTTGAAATAGCCCTAACTTAACTAGCATATTACTCAGACATGATTATGGAATCACAAAACATAACTGAATAAAATTGCATTAAGAGAAAGAGTAAAAGAATAAGGGGTTCGAAATCTTCTCAAAAGAGTACAAGATTTGTCTCCCCAAAAAGCTCTGAATAAATCTCTCTCTAAGCTCTCTGAATTCTCAAAAACTAAGATAAAAACCAACAATGGCTGAAAAACCTAATAAATAGAGGCTAAACACGATCTGAGGTCTTCTTGCAAATATGGGAACTTTTGGGCCAATTCTGCAAATAGTCTTCACACTTTTAATAAATCAAGCCACGCTCATTCCTTGATGGGTGACGAGCGTCACCAAAGGTGGTGACGATCGTCACCATATGGCATTACTTTCTTCTCCGATCTAGGTACTTCGTGGCTTCAACTCAAAATGCTCCAAAAGGCTCCAATATCTCCAATCATGCTCCAGACATGCTATAACCTGCAAAGACTCTTCTAGGACTCTAAAAAGACCAAAAAGACTCAATAAAAAGGACTTATATCATGGTTAAAAACCATAAAAACCATGATATATCAACTCCCCCGGACTTAGCTTTTGCTTGCCCTCAAGCAAACATCAGACAGAGAACAGGGTCGAGGTTTGAAAACAAGAAACAGTCAGTCAATCATCAGGAACACCACACTGGTTTGAACTTTCGAATTCACATACCACAGAGTCAACACAAGATCAAATTTCAGTCTAATCATCACAAGCTTAGCAAATTTCTCAAGTCCAGTCCAAATCCCTTCAAGAAATCCGAAATTTCTACTGCTAACTCTTTATTTTTTATCTAAGTGTGAAATCTCATCAAGGTTCTATCATCTCAATCACTTTACAGATTCTTTTCCCTTCCTAACAACTGAACAAACCAATCTCAACACAGCTCTCCTATTTTCTCTTCCCTTGATCTTTTACTTTGGATATTTTTTGATTTTTCACTTCTTTTTCTCAACTTTTACAGTCTAAGATATGGTGTTACTCAATACTTGTGTTCTTTGTGAGGAGACAGGTTCTTGAGTGTGTTCATTACTGTTGTTCCTTGTGAGGAGACATGGTCATGAATGCACCATTCTTTGGACTTAAACTTTTAAAACTACATCAGGGAAGATCAAAGAGAGACTGTATCTTAACCTTATTGCCAGTGCTGAAAGAGAGAATCAAGATCAATAAGAATCAATCACCAAGATAAAAAGTTAAAGTTCATTAAGGTGGAGCTAACATCAAATTTTCCAGATTCTCTAAGAACCTAAACCTTAATTGCTAGACTGATCTACCTATGACTTTCAACTTAGTAAGACTTGTAATCAACTACTGTGGCAATGGTTCTTATCAGCAAAAACGTCATATGGTTAGTTCCAAGAAAAACTGACAATTTCAAAATTTTGACTCTATAAAAACAGGTTTTTGACTCAACTTTAAGACTCTATAAACATGACACAAAGCACACAACGTCAGTAACCACCTCTCCCAGACTTAAACAACACTGTCCCCAGTGTTATTAAGCCAAGAGTTGGTCAAAAAGATGAATGAGAAGTCGAAAAACCAAGTCAGAAAAGTGTTACCTCGCGTGGGGTCGGGTGACGAGCGTCACCACGACCTGTATTGCACAATCATCAAGTTAGATGTTAATTAACAAAGTGTTGTCATGTGTACTATAAAGTTAGACTTTTCGAGCACTGAAACACACAATTAATAACATTCAAACATAGCAATAAGAACCTAATTCATCAATCTCACAAAACATCATCAAAGAAACTGACAACTGACTCAAAGAAAAACATAAAAATGACTCAAGAGAAATAAAAATAAAAGAGAAAAAGAAACAAGTAACCAGATAGTAGAGCCTCAGTCCTCATCCTCGCAAGGCTCAGTGGTGTAATAGGGGCGGACACAACCATAGTTGCTAAGTGTAGCAACAACATCCCAAAGGCCCTCAAAGCTGTCAATGACATACTCCTGAAAAGCAGCCATATCCATGGGTGTCTATGGTCATGGAGGACACCTGAAAGCTGTAGAGGAGGTACTCTGGCGTGTAGAAGGTCCAGCATCAGCAGCAGCTGCAGTAGAAGCAGAGGCGCCAGCTGTAGCAGCTCTAGCAGGGCGCAGAGCTAAAGGGCGCAGCAGAGTCCGTGCTGGCATGAAGAATAGCTGGCGTGGATCTCCCTGAATCGAAGTGAGGGCCATCTGTGGCAACTTAATGCCAAAATACTCTCCAGAAGTAGTAGTGAAAGTCCAGACAACTCCAATCTTGAGCCAAGTGACATGGCGCAGATACTGGTCATCCATAAGTGATATGTCACTGCGCAGACTGCAAGGAGTGACATCAATCTGGAAATGATGGAAGATGGGTGTCAAAAGGCTGCCAACACTCTCGGTCTTCTCCCCTGGACTGATGAACGGCTTGGCCTTCAAGGAGACCAGATGCTCAGCAAAAACAGGGCCCAATTTGGCGCGAATCATGCGATCAACATGGATCACATCATCAAGCATCTCATAGAGTCCGTAGTAGAGGAGAATCAGCTCACTAACTCGTGTCTTGCAAAGAATGGTATGGCCAAAGAGGCGCAGAATGTACCTCAAGACAGGATGGCGACACAACCATAATTGCTAAGTGGTGTAATGGGGGCGGACACAACCACAGTTTCTAAGTGTAGCAACAGCATCCCAGAGTCCCTCAAAGCTGTCAATGACATACTCATGAAAA